TGCTTAATTTTTGAATTTCTAAGGTTATTGAAAATGATTATATTTGTAGCGAAGCATGCATGGAGAGTATAGATATTTGCATTCCGGTCTACACAAGATTGTCTTAGTATTTATAAGTAATAATGTGTAATGTAACTTAACTGAGTTACTGTAGCTTTGCGCTTCGGTTATTGCATTCTCAGCTCTGTTACCCACAGAAGTATAGGAATGGTCATTGTATGTCGTTTTGAAAGTCTGATTTGTGTGATATGCAGTGATACTCAACTTTTCTCAAAGACACGACTTACCTTCTAAGTTATTCTAGTGCTCTAAGAGTGACGAACTGTTGTACAAATAAGAACGACTTATTTTTAGAACTGTACTCTTTAAACGAAGTCGGTCAAACTTTGGTCGGTTTGCTTGCCGCATTATAGTGATAGGCTTTATCATTTTAACGGTTATTGATTTTTGATTATTTTTCCTAATATTGGCTAGGCTTCTATTCTTGGTCGTAGCAGAGGATTTTCGTAAGTTTTTCGTTCGCCTTTTGCATGTTGTTCTACAGTTCGTGCGGTACTTGAAGAATCCTCATTCGTAGGTAGCTGTGGGTCTTCTAGTTCGTTCGATCGATTTTCGAACTGTCAGTTTCATGATCGAGGGTTTGAATTTGAATAAACGTTGCTCATATTTCATGTACAAAACAGCGAGAAAGCACGTAAAGTTTACGTGATTCAGATGCGGCTATCATAATGAATGTTCTTGCCTACTAATGATGACATTGATTCCTATATGTTCACCGTTCTATCAGATCTATACAACAAGTTGCCTATGGATGGCACCAATTAAAAATTGTCAGTTTAACCGATAACATAGCCGTTTGAAAGATTTGTTGTTTTCATCATTATGGGCGCCATTAAATACGATTGTTTTTGTTTGTTGTAAGACGAGGTTCAACGATTGCCATCACAACGTCATGCTGAGTTATGTTCGAAAGACATTTGAAATGTCAAAAGCTCAAATAAGTAAAACCAGAATAGTGGAACGTTTTTTTGAATGGCGGATCGCCGCTAAGGTTATTCGATGGGACAGAAATTAATTTTTGCGTTTTCATTTCTCCCTAACGTCCATTTGTAACGTCCTTTCTTCATATCTGTACTTAAATTTCTGTAATCTTAGTGAGCGAGCGAGGATTGTTTAATCTTCATTGACTTTCGATCGTTCATTTCGTTTAAATAGTTATGTTTCGCAACTTTGCCACTCATGAACAGACTGTTGTTGCTGTTGGTGCACTCCGACGAAGACCTTATGATTTGCGGTTAATAGCTTATTCGTCTTGAAGTTAAAATTGTCAGACGATGTTTCAGTTTGTCTGAAAGTTCATCTGTGGTCAGTCAGGTTGAATCAGTTATGCCTGAGTTGACGAGAGTTTGACCGTAAATTTCATCTACTGTGGCATTTTTGTATTCAAGACATGTTTGCCACTGCAGTATCTTCATCTGTTCCCCTCCCCCCAGAATCTGCAAAACGGAATATTCTGTTCGTTTAAGAGTGCAATTAAGCGCAGTAATGTGACTGTTGCCTCTGAACCCTGCATCAGTAAATGCTAGCCATTAGCTAATATTTCACCGATAGAAGCATGGTATGAAAAGTTGTTGAAGGTTTTTGAGGTCATTAAAGACTCTTGCTTTTTAGCACATATAAAAGAAAAACCAAGTGGTGCTGTTTTGCGCCCATGCATTGCAGGTCTTGAGACTGTGGAACCGAAGCTTGTTTAAACGGGCTCTTAGGCTACTAGAAGCAAGGGATGGTACGCTATGCTGTATAAATCCGGAGAAGTGACAGAAGAATATAAAAGAAAAAATCTGCCCAATTTAAATAACAGATAAATGACATTGAGGATAAAACTGAGCATTAAAAACTCTGCACCAAACTGCTCTACCTGATTAATCTGCAATGGCCACATGAGGTACAAAGAATGGTTATTCTGTAGTATTTCGATCATTGCGATAAGCCATTGCCTTCACCGTTAAAGGAACTGTAGTGTGGCGACGAAAACTTGCGACCCAGCGATTGATCCTGAACAACATCGTATTTCTCCAGAAATCGAAGAAATCTGAAATTTTCTACCGCATTCTGGAACTTAACAGCATGGTTATTTAATTGCGCTTCTGTAGGTCGTCATTTCACTGTTTCGCTAATAGATGTTGCAATGTTTCGCTACCTTCACCACTGAACCATCGCACTGTTGGCCGTTGTCCTGCACTGATTATTTTTCAGGGTCTCTGCTTATTTCGCAGTAGTCTCACGTGTCTGAGAGTTGTTTCATTTTTCCGAACCTGTAGACGCTGTCTGGCCTCACTGAAGAGCGGTGCGTAAGATACGTGCTGTTCTTCTAAACAGGACTTGTGAACATGCTTATGTTGTCCTCTAAGCAAGCTGCGAATCAGTAATAAGTAATTGCCGCTGCAGTTGTCAATGAATGGCTCTTGGTTCGTAATACAGTCGCCTATTACAATTGTTAAAATAACGATAGGTATTGATCATTTGTAGCATTTATTGTTGTTTTGTGCGGCTGGTAATATTTATCATTGTCTTATCTGCCAGTCAGTGATATTCGGATCGAAACGCTTGCCCGTATTATTTAGGTGAATCGCTCTTCCACACTGATTTGACTGCAGTTTTTCAATATTTTTGAAACGTTTCATTACTGCAGATTATTTAGTTTTACCATTTTGCTTACTTCATGGTGGTCCTCATATAAAGCAATGCAGTGCTGGTAGAACTGCAAGACAACTATTGTTTTCCTTAGACATCGCATAACAAATTGAATAAAAAACGTAAATATAACTTCGTATGCAATATGAAGTATATAAATAAATGATTAAATCCTCCAAACTTTGACTTAAAGTTATATTGTATCGGCATCTTGTATCTATATGCCTAAGGGGTCATTTAAGTTTGTCATCGCTACATGTTATCTGAGCATCCGCCGTACTAGGCACATTTCGCTTCACTGTTGGCTAGAATAATACCTTGCTCCTCACCAGCGATGAGTAAGATGTGGCGTTTACCAGTAAAATGATGCGAGATTCGCATACCATTGGAAGTGTTAAATATTTTAAAGCCATCGTCTGCGTAATCAGACCCTTTTGCGTTTAGGGGCATTGGGGTAGTGAAATTCTGTTTGGAGGATTTAAGCACATGTTATTGAATGTTCTGAATGATATAAGTTCGACGTTACTCCTGTTGCCACCCAACAATCGAGTTTCTCAAGTGCCTACGTTGTCCTGTGGCGCGAAGTGTATTCTCTGCTGTATTTACTAGAAAACTTTGTCCCTGCTGCAAAACTCGTAAGCAATTTTGAACCCTTTTGCAAGCCGGTCGACGAACTCAGTACTGTTGAATTTTCATAGTAGTATGCAATGTACAATTTTTTAATGCATGGCCACCGTTGCATATCTTGTTTATAATTTTTCTCTGGTCACTCGGTCTCAATTTGTCCTAAAATATTTGAATACTGAATGGAAATATTTCTCTGAAGTCTTAAAATTATTGTGGTCTTTAATTTAGATCTAGTGTTTCGATTTCACATTTATACGTCTGTGCTTTCACTGAATTACACAGTAATTGTCAACATCAAAAGTAATTAATCTGAAAAACATATTTCATGCAAATCTAAAAGTATATTGGAAGTTTTTCGAATCTGTGACAAACGATTAATTGTTACATAATCGGTCTCTTTTACAGTTACATGACAGGAAGTACTCTTTCTGAGAAATTCCCAGGTGTAGAAATTTGTGGGTAATTTCACCCATAGATTCATAGTGCAAGAATTGTATACTTGAAGCATAATGATTTTTCGGATTCAACCTTTTTACTTCTAGTTGTTTTGTTAAAACCAATTTGTCGACTGATAGTGTCAGTCGATTTTCACATTCCATTGCTAACTCTTGGCCGTTCTCTTGGAAATTAATTATTGGCAGTGACTGCGTAGGTAAGCTAATCACTTGAAATTCTACTTGAGTAGTATATCATTAAGCGGCTGGTCATACAGAAAGTACAGTATTGCATAATGCAAGAGGTTTGTCTTCGTGAGAAACTTCAAACCTGACTATTGTATCAAGATGGAGTAAACTTCAGTATAAAACTTTGACTACTGCTTAACATTTATATCCTGAAAAAAGTCGCTGAGACGTCTTAATAGCGGGATGAAAGTTTTTTCTGCTGGCTTGTCGATTTCTCAGGCACATCCGTGATTCGACAGTTCTTGTGGTAACCCTTCATGTAGCTGCCCGGCGAATGAACAGAGTTATTAGATTTAATGGAACCAGTCTTCCTAGCAATTGCTTATGGCCATTTGCCACGAAACGGGATGTTTGGAAATGTGCTATTTCGAAAGAGTCGTGCCGCAAGCCTTGTGTATGAGTAGTTCATGTGTTTCTTATTCATAAATATAATCTGGCACCAAGCGAAATGTGGAAAGTAATGCTGTACTGACTTTGTCGCACGATTCCCTTGTATATGCTAATGCCCTCTAGTGCATAATAAAGAGTTCATTGGAAGGAGAATTAACGTGCTTCTATGAATGTGCTTCATGATCTGGAAATTTTGAATTATGGTCGACTTGTGGGTCGGAGAACAAATTCAGTTTTCAGTTTTAATCTAAAATTGAAAAGCATTTGAAAAGCAATTCTTTCTAATCATGCAGCATCAGCTTTGCTGTTCAGACTTAGTCTTGTTCGGAAACAGTGAAGATACCGGTTTGAATTGTTTTTACGTAGTGCTTGACTGAACCTAGGATGTGTTATGTCTTCGTGACAGCTATCAAAGTGGGTCGCGAGTTTGGGCTTAAAGGGTACTCCTTGCGTTTTGTAAGTAAGGTTGGTGTACTGTTCAGGTGAAAGTCAGTTCAGTCTCAGACGAACTTTTCCGCTGTCTTTTTTCATTTTCTCGCGACACGTTGTTCACTTGTTAATTCAGCACATATTAGCAAATGTTTTTGTTTCAGCAGTACTGCAAAAATGGCGGTGAATGTCTATTCGACATCCAGCACGACGGATAATATGTCTCGGCACGAAATGCTGATCTGGTTGAATGACTGCCTTCAGGCGAATTTCACGAAAGTCGAAGAAATGTGTAGCGGCGCTGCCTACTGCAACTTCATGGATTTACTCTTTCCAGGTACTGCTCTCATTTATTACACAATAGTACAGTTTCACCGATGATTGTGTAGTTCTGATCTGTCAGATTTTCACAGCCATTCTGAGACAGTGGTACGCCATCTGCAATTCGCGGCTACATCCTTAGGCATATCTTGATTTTAATAGCCACTTTTAATTAGACGTTATCAAACATTTAATTATACGTCAGAATATGCCACTGAAATCGGCTGCAACTATCCTAATCAGACAGTTTCGATGGCTGCTTATTTGTGTCAGTCGCGCATAAGACAATGAGTCGCACCAGCGTGAGACAGTGTTTGCAGCGTTCTTGTTCGTGTATCGTTGTTTGAGATCCAGCAGAAAAGAACGCGAGTCTGTAGTAGAAACTGTCGAGACATTTGCCCCGCTTCAGGACGTTCTTGGCCATCCCTGGAGTTTTCGACCGGCTGGTTGATCAAGTGGTAGCTGATGCGTTTTCCTTTTAGATAGCGTTTGCAGGACGTGTTCTAATCTTCGCAGCTGTGATATCTCAGTCTGAAGAAGAAGCGACTCTACATCAAGTATCTCGAATTTCTTACCTCCGGACTTTGTCAGAGCGCCTGAGCTCAGCGATTTGTTTCATGAAGCACATTTCAGCCGCCTGAAATTCGGGATCGAAGTTTTTCAGTCACAGCCCACAATTCATTACCGTAGGTGACCTTGGAGATGAAGAACGACTGGAATACAAACAGCTCCGTCTTCAGACTAAGCCTTGCTTTAGTCACAACGATTCAGGCCAGTTCAGGATGCCGCTGGCCATTCCAATTCGTCTTTGATTTTCCATCACTGGTAAACTCGACTCCGAGGTACTTGGACTTCTCAACCTGCTCCAAGGCTTTATCCATTTATTTGAAGAGAACAAAAAAGCACTAGACTTTTCGTTTTAGCTAGGTCACACGCATGTCGACCACGTCGCACTCGGCTGCGAACCTTTTTAGTGAGCGCTGAGATCAGTTTCAAAAGATGCCACTAAAACTAAGTCGTCTGCAAACAGCAACCTTCTAGTCTCTGCATCTCTTACGCCAATGCTGGCCAAGGGAAATTATTCGTCCATATTTCAGTGTGAAAGCCCCGCTTCTGATGGGGTTTTTTGAAAGTTTTGTTGTTGCGGCACAGAAGTTTTGTTACACGAAGTGCGTATAAAAGTTTCAAGTCACTTGGTTGCAAAGCGGGTGATTGTGCTGCTTCGAATATTCCAACTGATAATGAAAATGAATTTCCTTGTACGACGATTAGCTAGTTATCGCTTACAGTAGATAAATCGATGAACATTACATCGATATCACAATCACTCATTTTCATGTGCTGCGATGTCTCGTTTGTTTAACTGCATAGCTGACAACTTCATATTTAGAATTTTTGATGTATTAAATTGTAATCATCGACGAAGCGCTATTTGTGACAGGCATTCGGTATGAAATCAGGTATCCTCATTTTAAATATATGCGAGTGCTAAAATTTCATAAAGAATTGTGTGAAATATTACGCCATGCTAATTGGCGAAAGCTGACTGGAAGCATCTAGTATTCGGCGGTCACGAATGATGTCCTGAGTTCTGTTAGCTTCACTTAATGACGGAGTTTAATCAAAACATTTCAACGTCTTTCTCGACAGAATTGCAGCTATGTATGGTAGTGTCGTCATCTTCATCTTCCATCGCCGCTTCTACTTTCGGGTCGCAGAGGCAGACGCGTCAGACAGAATTTCCAACGTTCCCGATCCTATGCCAGAGTCTGAGCTTCGGCAGAAGGCAACTGGAGTCTGGAACAGACTCATTCCATATATTTGCACCAGGTTAATCTTGGCCGTCCTCTGGGCCTTTTGCCGATCAGATTTGCAAGGAACAGTTGCTTAGCCTTCCTTTCTGGAAGCATTCGCAACAAATGCCCAAGCCATCGCAGCTGTGACTTCTCAATCTGGAGAAGCAAAGGCTGTATTCC